AAGCACGTTCACGACATCCACATCTTCAACGGTCACGTTCACTACATCTACTAGCAGCACAACCACAAGCACGAGTAGCACCAGCAGCACATCAACCAGCTCAAGTTCCAGTAGCACAAGTACTACAAGTAGCAGCAGTAGCAGTAGCACATCAAGCAGCAGCTCGACCAGTAGCAGCTCAACGAGTAGCAGCTCGACCAGTAGCAGCTCCACCAGTGGCAGTTCAACCAGTAGCAGCTCGACCAGCAGCAGCACTTCCAGCAGCACTTCGACCACTAGCAGCACGTTGAGCAGCAGTTCGACCACCAGCAGCACGTCGAGCAGCAGTTCCACTACCAGCACGACCACGAGCACCTTCACCAACACCTCAACAACCACTAGTAGCACTACGACCAGTAGCACTACGACCACTGCAACATCTTCAACAACAACTTCCACGAGCACAACGAGTTCCACCATATCAACAACAAGTGCAACAAGCAGCAGCACCAGCACAAGTTCTACGTCAGCGACCACCACCAGTAGTACAGTTTCACGAACGACCAGCACCAGCTCCACGGCCACAGTGACCACCAGTTCTAGCACCAGTTCATCCAGCAGCACCAGCAGCACTACCAGTACTCTTAGCTTCAAGAAATCAAGTTTCAGCTGCCTTACATTACATTGCAAGACCGTCCAACTTGGAAATCAGATTCCCTAGGTCCAAGTCTCGAGGGAACCAAATGCCCCGCAAAGAGGGCCTCCAAAACAGTAGGGGTCTAATGAACACCTATTATGTGTTCATGGTGTTTATTCATCATTGAGGAGCAGCCTGAGTAAAGGCACCCAGGGCCAGCATCATAGTTTGGGTGCTTGGGTTTGTTTTAGATGCTGCATGGGATTCAAGCCACCGACCTACGCTCTAGCACCCAAACCGCTCACTGAAACATACGCAAGGCTACCCAGTTTCAGTGGGTAGATCATTGTAAAACATCGTTAGCAACTAGGATACGACCATGATTTCACGGCCCATCCCCTTGCTGTGCCTTGGGGAACGATGCTGGGGGATGTGAGGGACCCAGCTGGTATATTGATTGCTTCAATCACCTGGTTTGCTGACCCATTGATAAATGATATTGACGCAATCATTTTTAAATACAACTAATTAAGCACATCATAAACGGGATGCACGCCCCAATTGCACCCCACTAATAAAACGTTCTAACGGGTTACTAGGCGTAAAATCCGTTTCGATATGGGATGGTACCCAGTGATTTGGCGGTCATATATGCGTAATGTTGCGGGTAAAAATATAAATGTGTATTATGTATTTTGTATGTACTGTATATATAATATATATACTTCACAATCACAAATGCATATACATAATTGTACACACACACATATATATACATATACATAAACGTATGCATATGCAAATACATATACATGCACATGTACAAATACATATTTACATACACATACACACACATATATATATGTAAAACATATTTGTTTGCATGTTATATTGCAGAATTGGTGCAAGGGAACGTTTGAAGGAAACCCGGACCAACTTAACTTTGAACTTTTTCAAAACAGTCGTTTTACAGGGTCAAACTTAGTGACTACCTTGAATAAATAAATCGTCATTTTGAGTCAATTAAATTTCTTGATGCTCAAACCTGTTCTATAAAATTCTAAAAACCCAATTTTTCTTCCCTTACACTGCTTAAACGGATGAGAATTCCCCAGGCTTTCCCGTTCTCAGGCACCAGCAGCAGCACCACGCGCAGCTCCACGGCACCGCTGCTGAGCCGCGAGGCCTTGGCGTCGCTGGAGGAGACGCGGCAGCGCTTGGCGGAGGAGGCGGTGAAGGAGGTGGAAACTGCGGAGGAAGCAGGCCGTGTGGATCTGGCTGGATCCCTCTGGTACCAAGAAAATATCCAGAAAATGAAAAAGAGTGAGTTGCAGGGATATCATTGGAATATATTCATTAATAGTGATCTTTGGGTGGAGGTTCCCATCTGGATACTCACGAGTAGGGATTTATAGGGGAATATTGTGGATATCATTGGGATATATCTGGTCAGGTGGATCTGGTGAGTAGGTGACTTTACCATCCAAAGGGGGGATTCAACAATAAAAAATGTTCGAAATCATGAAACATCATGTGGATTTTGTCTGGATGAGTTTGATCATGACCTCAGGTCGTGAAGTCACTTGAATGAGGAGGGCTATTTTTTTTTTCGCGGTAGTTTTTTTTTTTTTGGGGGGGTTCCTGGTTCTTTCCTGTTTCTCTGCTTTCCTGCTTTTCTGCTTCTCTGCTTACATTGCTTCTCTGCTTTTCCTGCTTCTCTGCTTTTCCTGCTTCTCTGCTTTTCTGCTTTTTGCTTTTCCTGCTTCTTTGCTTTTCTGCTTCTGTGTTTTCCCTGCTTCTCTGCTTTTGTGCTTCTGTGCCATTCTACTTATACTATTCTACTTTTTCTTTTCTTCAGTCATGTGTTTTTGCTGCTCTACTTCCTGCTCCTTTGTTTCTTTGCTTTCAGTCTTTACCGTCTCTTTGTTTTTCATCTTCTTTTGCTTTATTCTGTTCTGTTTGTATCCTAAATGGAACCCTAGAGAGACCCTAGGTGAAACCCGAAGAAACCCTAAAAAAATGCTGATAAGAAGCCCTGCATGAAACCCTAAATGAACCCTAAAGAAACTTTAAATGACACCCCAAATGACACCCCCAACAAACCCTAAACAACACTCTGAAAAAACACTAAATGAAACCTTCACTGACACCTTGGCTGAAACCCTAAATGCCACCCTAAATTGAAACCCTAAATGAAACCCTAAATGCCACCCGAAATTGAAACCCTAAATGAAACCCGAACTGAAAGCCTAAAGAAACCCTAAAGAACCCTAAATGACGCCCTACATGAAACCCTAAAGGAACCCTAAAGGAACCCACTTGAACGTTTAGAAATCGTGAAAACAAATCCTGATAAGAAACCCTGGAATGAAACCCTAAAGAAAACTCAAATGAACTCCTGAATAAAACCTTAAATCGAAACCCCAAACTGAAACCCTAAAGAACTAAAGAAACCCTATATATAGAAATGAACACCTAAAGAAACCCTGAATGAAACCCTAGAGACCCCCCAAAGAAACTCGAAATGAAACCCTAAAGGAACCTTAAATGAGACCCTAAATGAAACCCAAACTGAAACCCTAAAGAAACCCTAAATGAAACCCTAAATGAAACCCTAAATGAAACCCTAAACGAAACCCTAAAGAAACCCTAAAAAAACCCTACATGAATTTCTAAAGAAACCCTAAAGAGACCCATTTGAACGTTTACAACTCCTGATAAGAAATCCCGATAAGAGACCCTACATGAAACCGGAAAAAAACACTAAATGAAACTCTAAAGAAACCCTAACCCCAAAGAAACCCTAAATGAAACCCTAAATGAAACCGTAAAGAAACCCTAAATGAAACCCTTAATGAAACCCTAAATGAAACCCTAAAAAAACCCTAAATGAAACCCTAAAAAAACCCTAAATGAAACCTTAAATAAAACCTCAAATGAAGCCCTAAATAAAGCCCTAAATGAACCCTAAATGAAACCTTAAATTAGACCCTAAATGAAAGCCTAAAGAACCCTCAAGAGACCCACATAAACGTTTGAAGTACCAAAATGTAGCAAATACCATGCAAATGAGAGGTTGAAATGCCACAATGTGACAAGTACCATGCAAAATGGAAGGCGAACATGGCCAAATGTAGCAAATACCATGCAAAATGCAAAGTGACCATGCCAAAATGTAGCAAATTCCATGCAAAATGACAGGTTCTAGTTCCAAACTGTTGCAAATACAAGGCAAATGGCACCAGGCAAGAAAACCAAAAACAATTCCAAAACCTGAGGCAAAAAAACAAAAACTATTCTACACCCCTTGAATGATAGTTAGGATTCGGGGAATCATACTGGTAGTTGGCAGTATAATAACAATTATTTTCAGGTCAGTGAAATAATATAATTCAGCCAGAGTCTGGTGGTGGTTAATGGCCAAAACCAGAATGAACAACCTCCCACTTGCTTAATTCATGTGGGGGAGGGTACCCATTTGTGATTTGTGGATCTGGTGGTGGTTTCAAATGGCATTTTCTTATGGGATATTCTGTGAGGATATGAGTTTGGGGGAATGTTGACAACTACTGTATATTTTGCAGCGATCAGGATATTTGCAGCGAAACTGTGTATTTTCTTTCAACTGTTGTTTCACTGCCCAGTGCACAACGAACATTGGGAGCACTTGGCCGCTAAGCACCTTGGATCCCTGACGACAGCACACCGGTTGACTATTTGTACTCTTTGCCTAATCAACAGGAACTCCGAGGGATTCATGCGAATCGAAACCTCCGTCCCCGACCTCGACCAAGGATTTTCATGAATTTTCCATATCACTTTTTGTGAATCTACCATATAGAAACCAGATGGTGGGCTTGTGTCCTCCAAAAACTATGATCCTAGTGCTGGCAATGCGGTTTGAGGGAGAATCAGCATGGATCAGTATGTTTTTTTGGCAGTATTTCTAAGTATTCTTAATGAAATTTATATAATGTGATATAAATAGATGATGTTAATGCTCAACCCACAGATTACCTGAAAATGTAACGGAATAAACAAAATCCATGGTTTACCCTTCTTTACTGTATTAAAATGGCACAATCAACCATAATTCATCAAGCTAAACACAGTGTGGCTATATGGATCTGTTTGTTTTCCAGTGAATTTCCCGCCTTATCAGTTTCCTTGGGTCTCTCCTCTACCCTGGAGGGTTTTTAAGAGACAAAGAATTCCCTGATGGACAAAAATTTCCAGTCAGAGTCCCGCAACATCCAACTGACTGACAAGTGAAGATACTTCAGCACATTTCAGCACTGTTTTTATCATGCCACAGCTAGGCAGTTGAGTCCTTTTACAGAAAATCGATCTGTGGTGCACCCGAAAAATGATCCCTGAAGGTGTGATGGAAGCCCTGGGCCTTTTGTTCGACTTGTTCGACAACAGTAGCTGGGTAGCAGGATCCGGCACACCCGTCACGGGATGGGGTTATTAATGGCTATAGCCGCAGCCATGGGATTTAAAAATCCCTAGCAGTTGGGATATCACTGATATAATCTGTCTAAATATGGTTATACAATATATCATAAGATATCCACGTAGTTGACTGGAACTGCACCCCCAAGTGGTGTTCATGGCTGGCTGCCCAAGGCACCCTTGATCCAGACGCCCCCATCATTGGTCCCTTGATCTCAGAAGTGCTGATCGAGACTCCTCTGGGCCCCATGAAGCTGGCAGCGATGTCCATGGAATCCTTGAGCGTCGCACCTGGTGGGAAGGTGAACATCAGTGGGGGCCCTGTTACTTGGTGCTGGAGGTGCTGGTTGGCACTGGTTGGCACTGGTTGGCACTGGTTGGCACTGGTTGGCACTGGTTGGCACTGGTTGGCACTGGTGTTCAAGGCAAACTTCGGATTTTACGCTGTTTTTGGGATTCCTGTGACCATGAGGATCCATGGGGATTGATCAGATCAGGTGTTTGAGAGTTTGTGATGCGCCTACTGATACACGGCTCCGGGGAGACTAGCCTTGTTGATGGAACTTCTTTGGCCAGCGAGTAGCTGCTAGCCCTTTGTGGCGATCCCAAATGTATCTTCTGGATTCTTCTGGGAATATACCAACATTTTGAGACACACGCGGATGGGAAACACTTCAACATGGTACTTCCGACAATGGTTCCTTCAACCATCCTGCCACTCCCGGTGCTTACCCTCTCTGAAATATTGCCACCAATCCTGTCACAACCCCAGCGTGGAACACTTTATATAATCGAATGGATTTCAATTTCAAAGGCCAAAGGAAAATGGTTTGCATATTCTTACCATGAAATCGTTGGGCATACGTATATGTTGGAAGTTGCTGGAATGTATGGAGGTGATCAACATTTTCCATGACACCGTACATGTCAGCATGCACATGCACGCAGGCGCGCTCTCACTTCCATACTTCAGACAAGTATTCCAAAGAGTTTTTGGCAGCGAAATGGGGCTGTGGCAACATTTAGAATCCCAATTTCCCCATGGTTTTAGCATCATCCTCATTGAAATGGCATAATTCTGGTGGTATCTGCAATTTTTTTGAGCCAACTTGACTGGAGCGGACTCAAGATGAACCAAGGACACAGGTTTTCAATTGGAGGTGGGTCAGCACAACTTGGCGCAAATCATTTCTTGCCCTGCAGCTCTGCAGCAGTGAAGCAGTGAAGGGACTTTGAATTGCAAGGACGAAGCAGTGAAGATGACCTCACCATAAACTTGGTCGGCGGTTTCACATATTTTCAGGGGGTTGAAACATTTGAAATGGTCTTGAGCCAGGTTGATTTTTATGGTTTTAGGGTTCCCACATCTGTGAATCCAAATGGAATGGTAGGGACGCGGTTTTTCAATGTTTTTCAAAAGGATCAATCCAGGTACATGGATATGTGGGCCATGTGGGCTGGATCAATCACAGGTGCCTTTTAGATTTTGACCATTTCACTGTTCAAGATCCCATTTGAGGGATGCCCTGCTGAGAACAGCGTTTCGAGGGTATGCTTTGGGACATCGGCTTTGTACTGCGAAGTCATTGACAACAAAACAGCATAACTGGCCGCTCTCAGGTCAAGGTGAAAACATTTTGGAGTTGAAGAGCCAGCTTGGGGCTGTTCACTGCGTATGAATTGCATCTATAATTTTACCATTTTATGTATTTCCGCATGCCCTACAGAAACGTTCTGTTGACGTCTGACCATGGTGCAGCTTGATGTCGACCAAGTGGCTGTGCCAATTTGTGCCGAGGAGATGTTGGGCGTGAGCTGCATCGAGGGTCCTGTGGTGATGAACATCCTTACCATGAATGAGAACGCTTCAGCCAACTTGCGCAAAGACAACGTGCTGGCTGATGAACGGGTGCGGCGATTGGCCGAAGGTGAAGGTGCATCGACATTACAATCAAAGCCAGCTTCCATCAACTTTTGGACCCGCCACTGGGGCTGAAATTCTTGCCTCTGCCCTATCGCCAAATCAGTAGGTTGGTTGGTCCCAGCCCCACCAATTGAAGGAACCCGTTTGTTGCATTTGTTGCCCAGATCGCCCAAGGAAGAATGGCTAGGACTGGGCCTTTCCCCATCCCCAAAGTCCCCAAAGCAGAGGAATCAGTCCCGAGTCCCGAGGCAAAGGCAGCAAGATTCCCGTCTCCGGGCTGTATCCACCCATGCTGATGGTTCTGGAAGTGGACCGGCCCGGTGCAACCTGCGCCTACTGGGACGAAAAAGTTGCCAAGTGGTCCGAAGACGGGGTGGCCACCGTGGCCACCGTGGCCACCATCCATTGCGTGTACCACCAGGCACTTGTCAATCTTTGGAGGCATCCTGAGCACTATCGTTGGCAATATTGTTTTGGCACT